GGGGTCGAGGGGCGGGACCGAGGCGTGACGTCAGAGAACAATGACACCGCCAGGGGCGGACACCAGGAGGCAGCAGGGGCGGGGGTCTCCCCGGGGGCCTGAGACTAGCGGAAGACATCCTGGCTCGTCCATGGCCGCTGCCTGATTGACGAGGCCCACTTGGGAGTGCGGACAAGCCACGCAGACTCGCGGATCGTCACCGGCCTCTTGGGCAGTGATCAGCGCAGACCCTTGGGCCAACGCGGGGAACAGGCCGGACTACTACTGTCACCCCCATTTTAAAACATCTTTCAGAGGGTTTTTCTGACCTCGTCTTGAACTCCTTTAGGGCCAGCAAGATCACTCCTTCAACCACCGAGGGAGAGGAGGCAAAATGAATTTGCCAGCCTTGAATTCATTCTCAGAGATACACTAGTCTGACAGCCAGCGAACTCAGCCTGGATTCCTGAGGGCTCAGAGGTCTGCGGCTCAGGTCCACGAAGGCATGGGGGTGGAGGGCGGGGAGGGAGGTTGGCGTGGGGATGCCGGGCGCCTGCTTGATTTTCCCTGGGGGAAATTCTGCCTCCCTGTGCCATTAAGTGCGAGGGAAATTACTCCTTTCTGAGCCTCAGTCTTCTGACCTGTCACATGGACTGTTATCACACTGCTCCCACACAGGTGGCAGATGAACATCCTTTGGGAGGGTAGATGGTATGAAAGCACTTCCAGATCTCAAGGGACACCAGAAAGGCATGGTCCCAGCACATTCCTGTGGGAGGGAGCCCTTCCCCCTCAGCCTCTGGATGGCCCAGGTTCCTAAGTGGGGACATGGGGGGCAACCTGAGAAACCCTTAATAGCCTGACCCAAGGCTGGAAGGAATTCAAGTTGGAATTCAGCTTGCTGAATGGTGGCTGGAGCCACAGCTGTCCCTCCCCCCAGCAATCCATAGCATTGCAGCAGCTACAAAGCCACCCCCTCCCCCCCGCCCGCCACCCACCGAGGTCCAAAACCTCAGAGTAAAGTTTCTGATGTTTAAGGACCCGGAGGGCAAGAATCCAGCTTCGACCAAGAACTAGACCAGTTCCTGCTGCCTTGATGACCACCTAGGTCAGAATGCTAAGTCCTCTGAACATTTCTCAGTGAGTAACAAGGCTCACCACTGCCAGGAAGTAGTGGATACACGTGACCTTGGGGGTGGCCACTCATGTTCAAAAGCTCCTGTCAAGAGGACCCCCCACCCCCACCTAGTTCCCCTTACCTCTGAAAACTAGGAAGCCACTCGAGAGGGTAGAGGAGCCAGTACACAAAGCATGCCCAACTCTCTGTAGCATGGAGTCTGGGGGGAATTTCAGCTCTTTCCAGCTGGACAAACTTGGCACTTGATGGCAGCTAGTCAGAGAAATCTCACCTGGGCCCAAGCTTCCTGGAGACCCTGGGCTCCAATCCTTGGTACTTGGGCCATTTCTGTCTCTACTCATCTTTCAGGGGAATAGCAAGGCAAGTTGGATTCCTGTGGGGTCTTGAAAGAAGCTATGACTTATTTAGTATTTACTATGTGCTGAGTACTATGGTTAGGGCCTCTGAGCATTAGCTTATTGAATTTTCACACTGCCCGGAGTTAGGTGCTAATACCATCCTACTTCAGAGAAGACTACACTGTGAGTAACTTGCCCAAGGTCAATCAGGATTAGAACTCAGGCTTTCATTAAGTTTCCTGCTGGCCTCTTAGCCCCAGCTCTGCATCCTCATTCACAGATTCTCTGTGTGGCCCTAGGCAAGTTGCTAGCCCTCTCCAGGCTTCTGTAAACCAAGGGCAAGGTCTATGGTCAGGCTTCTTTGGGGACTGTGTGTCCTGAGCCTCTACCCTCTCAGCCTTGGCCTCTGTGGACCTTAAAGTCAGGGTGGAGCAGAAAGGAAAGTGCTTTCACTTCCCAACCACTGAGAGCTGGAAGATGAGTCCCACTC